ATTTAAAAAAAAACCGGAAAACACAAAAAATATCACATGCCAGGTAAAAGAATCGAGCTCTGCATGTGCACATCTAACTGCCACATTTTGTGCGTTTCCGGTTTTCTAAATAGACTCATATGAGCTCTCTCGTGTTACTTCCTAATCTTTGTGTCACACCAACAAGAATTCGTCTTTCCACTTAGAGATTTATTAGAATCCGAATTTATACGTTAGGATTCAGATACCTAATATCGCCTTCGTATCTCTAAGGATGGACAGTTTTCAGAAAGTTGAATCCACAGGAGTGTGAACGGCCACCATAGGAATTTATAGTGTTTGGCTGTATTTAAGACAATAATTTATCTTTCTAGTCTTCGACTAGTTTAGCCTTAAGTAGAAGGAGCTGAAAAATATATTTTCACTATGATATTCCTTATTACGGTTTGGTTGTCCAAATGCGTAAGCCACATTTAAGTTCAGGTTAGTTCTTCTTACATATCATACGATGGATTGTGCAGTTTCGTGGATGTTCTGAGCACAAGACCATGCAGGACCTTCGGAGTCATTACAACTTTAACTGGCCTCCAACTAAACCTACTTTCAGAAGAGCTTGACAGTTTGCAGATGCTCGTTAAGTAGGGTGCACGCATTGCTGGAGAACTGACTATGATTGGAAACAGATATTTAGAAATCTTCACATCTTTTCTTTTAGCTCAGGTAGGCCATTTTTGGCCTTTGAAAGTGAAACTCGTCTTAGTTGTGTTCTGTTGACTGTACATGCGGAGTTTTATCATACAAAGATCGTTGAAAAATACTTTGACAGTTTATTATTTTCACTATCTAGGTGGCAATTACAGCTGATCAAACTGCTTGTACGCCTGCTTCACGTCCCATACCTACGTTCCAGACGAATGCGAGTCCAGCATCAGTAAGTGTCCTTTAGTGATTTCCGAAGCACTGTGCACTAAGGCCTTCACATACGTATTTTAAAACGGCATTCCAGGATGTACTTGAAAGTATCTCCAAATGCTGTATAAAGCTGAGATGTAAATTGTTCGTCAATGTCGTAAGGTGAATTGTTTCCCTTAACGTAGTAGCCGTATTTTTAACTTTAAAATTTTTATTACAAAAAGATAGCTTGCCATAAGCGAAGTAGTGCCTACATCGTTATGCGTTCCTTATAAACAGGCTTATTAAGTTCTGGTGGGAAAAAAATCACGAATTTTCGAATTAGGCAGAGGAAGCCCCTCTTGTAGAATATTGACATTAACCTCTTGCCTGTCAACTTTACGTGAGTTAGAGAGTTGCTGGGAGCACTGAGTCTGTCAGAGAGGGCTTGCTTTTCGTACAGCCCTGATACCTACTTGCAAGATCATAATGTTCAGACTTGCCTCTTGCCTACATGTCGAAAGTATAAATGGAGCTTAGCGAATCAAGGCTGAAGATACCCTTTTAAGCGCAATATTATTTCTAAGAAACGATGATCTCTATAATCTTAACAGTGAAAACGCTTTAGTGCATAGTTATTTAGTAAGTAATGCATGTACGACAGTTCAACCGTCGGTTTTGACGAGGTCCACCCTTTGCCCCAAAGCATGTCGTCGCAGGGACGGGAATTTACGCATGAAGTAGATTATATCAAGAGGAGACCTACCGCACTCTCTTACCCTTCCATACCTGGGCCCGGCGTCATGACCAAGTTAAGAAGTCCGGGAGCGGAGAGGGTGCAGGTGGCTGGCCCGGCCGGCGTCACCCCCTGGGCATGCTGCTACACCTGGTTTGGATTCCACAGAGTGGGAGTGCTATAAAAGTTAAATTAAGAAGAAGGCATTAGAACCTTGCTCTCGGTTCACCA